CAGTCAAGAAAGCATTTCCCCAACATTTGAGATATGTGGGGAATTGAAAGAATAACTGTAGGAAGTTTTTTTTTTTAATTAAAAAACACTACTTCATACTGAATAGGTTTAATCTGGATTTCAGCTTACAGATGGTGCTTATAAATCTCATAGGAAAAGGGTGACCAGCAATCTGGACATGGCGCCACCCCTCACCAAACACACACTACATCCTAGTACATGAATGCCGTCAATGCCCTCACCATGGGCAAGCACAGCAGCCTAGAAATGACAAAAAATGAAATGACCTGGGCACTGGAACCCGGGATCGATACTGAGCCATTTCTGAATCCTTGGTGGGGGAGCAGTGGGTTTAAGATAAGAAACATAAATATTTTTTTTAAACTTTGGCAAGTAAGTATAGAAATGACTACTTCTCGATTGTCACTTTTAAAGGAAATATTCTACCTCAGGAAAAGATCTTCTCCTATCTTATTTGACTTCTCTCTCAAATATTTGGAGGGCAAATTCCTATAAAATAGAGGTGAACTAAAACCTCTTATCTGCAATAATTAATTATTTGTCACCTTCTCTATTTAAAAAGTATATAAAATGAAAAAATAATAATAAAAAGCATATAAAATGTAGAGTCTATCATTAATGACAAGTCCCCAAGACCTTACTTGTAATGGAAGTTTGGAAACAACGTGATTAATTTTTTAAAAATTGGGCCTCTATGCATGTAATTCCTTTACAATAATCTATATATCACATTCCTGACAAAATAATATTACCTAATGCAAATTTCATCACTCCTCTCAACCTTAACACCCTCACAAGAGGTATTAAAATTAGTAGAGTACTGAGCCAAGGAGCAAGGAGCTTGATAATTTACAAGGTTTATTTTTTTTCTAAAATGCTATAACTAGCTATATAATAACCTTTTTCTCATAAATTCTAACTTTAAAAAACAAGAGAGTCAATGATAAACCAAGCTATAATATATTATTCCAAGAACTCACAGTCACTGGGACAAACAGATTTTCTTTATGCCCACAATGATTTTCCCAACTGTAACACATGACTGTTGTATTCCAAAGGGTAATGAAGGACAAAACACAAGACTCAAATTTATTCATAGTATTAGAATAAAATGCTATTGGAAATTCACTAGGTTAGGCATATCTTCATAATTCTGGTTGAATTTTGAGGAGAATCGGAAGGGGAAAATTAGAGAAACATTTTAAAATGAAAACATGAGACTCTAGTATGCAGTTCTTTCAAAGTACAGAAAGAATCCTTCACATATCTATGGGGATAAATTATTGATCTAGTCAAGCTTCCAAAATGAAGTAGTTAAATCATCTTGTAAAGCTTGGAGGACTCTTAGAATCATGAATTATTGTAGAAACATGTAACTCTTAAATAAAAGCTGCCATAACCCTACGTTCACATTGTTTGGGTGGGTGGTGGGAAGAAGAGACAAGAAAAGAGAAGGCTGGTGCCCTGTGTCTAATGAAAGAGGCATAATTTATGACCATACTCTTTCTAATACAATCCAGAAGTCTGCCACATCTATTGTGACAGATGAAGGCACCTGCAAAATCTAAACTCGGATGGACGCTGGGAAGCAACCAAGAAGCAGTTAACAAAACACCTACCGTATGCACAGAACTGGGCTTGTTTCCATGGGGAAACAGGAGAACAGGATACGCAGATGCGTTCAGCCTCCAGAAGCATAAATTTTAAGACATACTTTTCGAAAGTTTAAGACATACTTTTCATTTCTTATTTTAAAATCAGAAATTCTAAATGTTATGTTGGCATTAAAGTCCTTTCTTAGGTCTGTATCCTTTCCATGAAAGCCAGGCTAAATTTGGGTTTTGTTACAACTGGTAGGTCCTGCTGATAAATAACATACTCAGAAACAAAACCCCAGCAGTACAGCAACTGGTAACCACTGAAGCTGGTTCTGCAAATCACAGTAAGTTACTTGGGAGAGAAGGCATTACATAACATGAAGTCATAACACATAAGTGAGGAAAACAACTTCAAACACTCAGACACTCTTCAGTTACATTTTGTCAAGGCTTACACTTCCTAAACTAAGCCTTATTTAAACTAAGCAAATTTACTAATGATTACTAAACTTTGAACATAATATTATCAAGTGCTCCCAAACCATTTCTGAAGAGATGATTATAACTCTTCATCCTAGAAATTCCCAGAAAGCCCGATACTGAAGGAGGCAGGGGCACTATCAGTGGACTGCTTGACTGCAGATCAGCCCTCCGAGGTACGGCCTTTCACACAGACAGCCCCTGCGAGGCACAGTCCTCAGCCCAGAAGAATGAACTCAGGGAGAGTGTCTCTATCATGAGACTCTGTGCTGTGCAAATGGAAATATATTGACAAGCCCTAACATCCAGGTCGCTAGGAATTTCCAAAATTCAAGATGCCATTAACCAAAGGAAAAATGCACCTTTTCCCAACAAGTGATCACTAACAAAGATCTTAATGTCGCATGGTTGCAGAAATACATATTAAGAGGTGGGAGTAAATATCCTCATTGTTTCTAAAAGCCAACAGCCCCCCATTGAGTTGGCCACTTCACCCACACCACACATGCTATGACTTAAGAAAACACATCAGTCACAAAACACAAAGCCATAACACGTAAGTGAGGAAAGCACAACGCAGACCGTCACAGGATTTTCACCTTCTGTCAACATCCAACCTGTCTGAAGTGACCACAGATGTCAGACCCTGAACAGACACTACAAGCCCACAGAGCTCTAAAGCAGAAAAAGTCCTGTGACTTACTGATACACAAAATGTTCAAGGAAATTGCTAACTTGATGGGTTAATACTCTCTGAAACAACTTCTCAGGCAATTCTACTGTGTCTTACTATCATCTGAAACTTCATAGAATTGATGAACCACACAAACCGTATTATGTTATTTTGGAAACTGTACAATTTAATGCAAACCCAGTGGGAATGTAATGATTATGTGTGTGAAAGTCATAAATCAATTTTATATTTACAAATACTTTAAAATAATAATTCATTCACTCCTTACATCCAATCTGTGAACAGTCAAAAATCATACCCATTTCACAGATAACAAACTAGACACTGAGATAAAACACCTATAAATCAGTTCAGAACAAGGATATGAATTCACTGTCATAAACCTCTAACCATCATAAGTTCTTTCCTCCCTCTCTCTCTTCTAATTAATTCAGCAAGTAGCTTATATGAACATTCATAAAGGATTTTTTTACTAATCAATTATCCTTCAACTTGCTTCCAAAGGACAGCAAGTCAGAAAATACTTTCTATAATAGCTGTAAATTTCATTTTTTAACCATAAAATGTTATCTAGAACCATTTTAGGCAACAAGGTAACCAAAGTATAAATAGTAGGAACTCACATTCCCTTGAACAACTGTCCTTCCACTTAGAACACAATGAACTTCTGAGGTAGACAAGCAGAGTTCTTGTTCACTTAACTGCAACCTCATTTCAGCATGGAATCAGAGCAAGAAAAGCAAAAAGTGAAGAAGGGAATAGGAAAGATATACATTAGTATTAAGCCATTTGCTGAGCTTTAGGTTCCCACATAAATATTTTGCTGTATATTTTAAAAATCACTTCTCAACTGCTGATTTCCTCTACTTCCATCACCTTTTACAATGAAATGCTCCTTTTAAATTACTTATTGGAGTTGTTACTAGCAAACACTGTCAGATACCTCTAGTTGAAGATATTAATATATACACTTAGCCTGAGACTTAAGTGTAATACTTAGTTTTAGTTATAAATAATATATGTATAAAGTAAGTAGGGTTGCCATTATTTATATACTGCAATAAATATACAAGAATGAATACAAATTATTTTTCATAAAAGTACAATTTCTAATCCATTGAGGTTTCCAAACTATGAAGACAATAAATACATTAAAACACCAAGCAGTCTCCTCTGTTATAGAATGCCAGTCAGATGAGATCTGAAAGAGAGTCTTTATTGATAGCCATATACAGTTGACTATACCATCTCGGTGATTTTTCGCTATTTAAGAAAAAATGTAGAACCTGCACACTTAAAACATTATCAATGCAATAAACCACTACAGACACACTGGATCTTTTAAAATTTTGTTAAAAACTGCCAAAGTCATGATGAATACAATTATTGCAGCTACACAATTTGAAAAAGTAATATAAATTATGCTGCTAAAGACAAAAGACATCAGAATGCATAAACATCATAACGTAACAGCAATAACTCATAAGTATTATTATGAAAAATTAAATTTAAAAAGTTATGTTAGAGAATTTGGAAATTTTTTACTTTAGCAAAACACTCTATTTATATATCTCCAACTTCTATGATACAGTATACCATAAAATACATTTAAAAGATAATGACATTCAAATGCTTCATTTACACAAATAATATTGCCAGTAATAATAAAAGTGATGCCCTTAAACATGAACTGCTCTGCTAATAATGATTAAAAAAATGTTTTCTTTACTTCATTTAAAATTTAAGCTAGCAGTTAGCATTATATATTAGTCAGTTCTGTGTTGACAAATTGAGAGGATCCTAGTCAAAATACTGTTTCTGAAAAGTAATGTACATTATATTGCTTGAAACTAACAACCATATAAAAGTGGTGATCATTTATCTAAACACTGATTATGAAAGACAAGTGGCATATATTCAGGCAGAGTGTTGAGTTCATGATGGTTTATTTACAATAAAAGTACTTTTACTGAAACTAACATGATATATAGGCTTCTATGTCAATGACTACAGTCTCTTAAAATTATAAAAATACTATATAAAATACCACAGGCTTTGGAGGATATAACTTCGTGTGGTTCTGATACTAGCAGCTGAAAAGTGTTTATAATTTAAAAATAAATAAACTATAGAGGTAAAACAGTTACAAAACAGCAGGGGACTGCAACAGTCAGGAAAGAGAAAAGAACTGCTTGGTTACACAACAGCTAACAAAATGGTGAAGCTGTTGGGTCAAAAGTTTTAAAAACCTCCTTCAGAGATTTGTCATCTGTTTCTTTGCTGGGATCATCACCAGGGGTGGGGCTCACCTGTCCCAGATGCTTCGACTGCCTGGGATCGCTGTACTGGGGTCTGATTAAGCCTGTTAATGCCTGAATGGGAAGGCTGTGCACTGCTGGAACCTGAACGGTACCGGAACTCTGGCTAACATCCGTCTGTGGGTCAGCTGGGCAGTCAACAGGGACATCCACATTCGGAGCGATTTTCTGTGGTAGGATTGCTTCTCCGGGAGGAGGCTCATTTTTGTCACTACATTTCAAACTCCCGCTTTTTTTCTGGTTCTCTGCATTTTCTGTTGCTAGCTCTGATGTAGAGGATGAACCTTGTTCCCTGGGGTCATACAAACTAATACCGCTAAGGACTGAACCCGGAGTGCCCAGGGGAAGGCCAGCTGAAGATGACAGTTTGGGGGCATATGGAGGTAAAGCCCCAGGACCAGAACTGCTAGGTGCCGCCCCTGAGGGCTGTGATGAGCCCGGGTGTGACCTGGCCCCTGAAGGAGGGGCAGTCTTTGACATATGAGGGTCTTTCGTAACTGCTTGATGAGGCTCTGTATTGTGCAGTCTGTGAAGTCTAGGATCAAAATTTTTTTGTAGCCTAGGATCTCCTAATTTACTTCCTGAACTATGTGAGTCTCCAAATTGGTCTGGGTAGCCTTCTCTGTTTGCTGTGTTAATTTTGACTTTGGCTGCTAGTTTTGTATCAGTGGGCACTGTATTTTGACGAAGATCACTTTTTGTATTCCATAACCTACTGAGCCTCTGGTCAGCTATAAGAGGGGGCAGAGGTAAATTGATTGAAGAGACTGGATCAGGTTTAGGTAAAGGAACTGGTAGTAAGTCTTCTGGAGCCCACACGATGTGTTTGGCAAAGTTGGGTTTGGTTAGGGTAATATCCATTTTAATGTGACTAAACTGTCTCAGTTGTGACCTTGGGTCCTGCAGCATCGCACCAGGGGAAGAATCCAGAGGTATTAAGAAAGCCTTTTCTCTCAGTTCTCTTTCTGTATCTTCATCGTCATCATCTCCTCTTCTGTGTCTGATGTTAGGACCGGTGTTGCCATGATGTGAATCAAACTTGGCTCCACCAGCAGAAGAACTGACATGACCGCTTCCATTCCCTCTTAATTTCCTTGGATCCCACGCAAGTCTGAGATCCAGTGGGGCAGACTCAGAAGACTTTCTAATGTCTTGCCTTGAGATAGTCCTAAGTCTAGGGTCGACGACTTGGTTTCCCTTATTCTTCTCTCTAGCAAGTCTTGGGTCAGTAGGAGTGCCAAGTTCTGTGGAAGGCTGCTGCTGACTCCTCAAAGTCTCTGTTTGTTTCTGTAATGTTCTCAGTATTGACTTCACACTGCTCCCTTCTTCCTCTTCACTACTGGAGTACCAGTTAACTGTTTCATCTAAATGCAGACAAATACTATTGTAAAGAGTGAAGCATTCATATTTGGCTTTAATTAAGATTAAAAAACACATAGACTATTTCTGAAATAAGGGTAGTTTAACTTCAAGACAATGCATCATAGAAATGACAGAGTTTCAACACTGGAACAAGATAAGATGTGATATAACAACTAACAGTTCAGTCACTGCACTCTATAAAGAAGTACGGCATCAGAACATGTAAAATGTCCTTCCAGTCAGAGAAGAGTCTGGAACTTTCATTCCAGCTGGCCAAAGGGAACTCAGAAATGTGTGGTAAGACAGGGCTGAGGGAGAAGGGAAAACACTCTAAAACAGAAATACCAAAATGTGTTGGCTCTCTTTAATTCAAGTAACCTCTTAAATTTCATACCTCTGGATTTATCAGATAACAAGGGAGAGCTATTAAAAAAAAAAAAAAAAAACCTGGAAAGAAAACAGAACACTAACAATGATGGTTAAGAAAGCAAAGGGAACTGAGCATATACGGGCCCCAGGCTTTTCTGTCATGTATTTTTAAATGTTTGACCTTGTGAATATATTACTCAAACACTAAATTAAAAGCAACATATAAAACTAACACCCTAAAATTTACATACTTTAACTTTATGAGAACTTTGGGCCTTACTCTTAAAGCCTATGTAACTTCAGTGTGAGCCATAATGTTAAGAAGCTTAACCGTCAGAGGTCTTCTCTCTAGTAGAGAAGGAAATAAAAACTGATGCCTCAGGAGAGTGGGTTTCCTTCCTCTCCATTAAAACATACATAGATTATCTCTGAATTAGCCATGTACATGTATATATGTACACATGTACACACATACACTTATGTATATCATAGAATACCTTGAATCAATAGAACAGCACATATATTCTCACTTTTATCTCACTGCTCACTGATGCGTTTCTGTCACATGGAAATTTAGCATTACACAGTTAGTTTGAACGAAGAATGCTTACAGAACAAGCACTCCTATTTAGGGGAGGATGTGGCTTTAAAACAATATATACTATATCACAACGGCAAAAACTTTAATTCATACCTCAGTGTCCAAAAAAACTACTTCTAGACACCAGATCTCTCTTTTTTCTCTCTGATCTCCAGAAAGTCTAGAACTAGACCTGTGGTTCACTTTCAACTGTTGTAGTCATTTTAAACATTTCTGTGTAGGAGTTTCACTCCTCATAGAATTTGGTACTTAATCCAAATCCGATCCAAAGGTAAGATGCTATTTAATTTTCACTTTAATTTCATTTAATTTTAATTTTCACTTTAATTTTCATTTTATTTCACATAAGATAAACATATTTTATAAGCAGTCTTAAATTCTTTTTGGAATAAGAATGAATATGGAGCAGAAAGAAAGTAGAACAGCAGAGAGGTCGGTGGAAAGCAGGTATTAGACAGAAAATGATTAAGAGGTTTCTATCAGCTTTTTATCAAAGGACAAATAAATTCACAAAGGCAATAAAGCTTGTAAGAATGAACATAAACACAAAAAAAATCTGTTTTAAAGATGTTTTCTGATTCTGAGGAAACAAGCCTTATAAAACATTACCAATTTTATAGTATTATATATAAAATTTTATATCATTTAGAAAAGTTTTAATTTTCTTCTTTATGAAAATATAAGGCTTTGTTACACTTTAAAGAAAGATTATCATTAAAATGATTATTTCTTAAAATTAGCACCTAAAGGAGTAAGTATAAATTATACAGGAAATTAACTTATTGGAAATTCCTCATTTCCCTGACATGTTAAATAAATGAAGGTTTAAAACTATCTTCTTTGCAAATGTAACAATGTTTATATAATAACTTGTAGCTACTAGTGTTATCCAGTTTTACATAGTCATTCATAAATTTCATGTTTTGCTCATTTTTGGCCATGCCTCGCAGCATGTGAACTTCCCTGACCCCTGCAGTGGAAGTATGGATTCTTAACCACTGGACCATGAGGGAAGTCCTTAATTTCATGTTTAAGAGTGGCCAAACATATCAATTTATTAACTCATAATAACAACTGGTTGATTTCAAGTTTTCTCCCCCTAACTGAATTAACTAATTGCTATATACTTATCAGTATCAAAAAAACTAAGGGAAATTTAAAATATAATCTTTTATATTAACAATAATATCCTTTAATAGTATAGCAGAACCTGAAGGAAACAGCCTCTGCCCATAAAAATCTAATAACCAAATAATTTTGAACTTGAGTTACAAGTTAAAATTCCTAAACTCAAGGCTATCTTGTTTCTGCTCTATTTCTCTTCAAAAACAAAGCTTAATAGCAAGTCTGCTTCCAAGGCCTCACACTCCAGTCTGATTTATTGCTTCAAATCAAACCCTTTGCAATTAATTACTAATGCATCAATGGCACTGGAAATGACCATCAATCCCAAGAAGATAGTAGCTGTAAGATAGCTGGAAATAGAATAGGTAGATCCAAACAGATACTATCATGACACTTGACACACCTTCTTCCTTGCTTGGTGCCCTCTGAGGTTGGGTGCTGCTTGGTTCTTCATCTTCTTGGTATTTCTGAGTAAGTCTAACAAAAAGAGCTCTCTGCACAGCAGGGAGGAGACCCAGTGCAGGCAGGGGGCCATGGCCTGTCACATTACCGCTGCTGTCGGACCCACTCCCGCAGTTAGGTGAGTCTGGAACAACTGGAGCCTGGTGCTGGGCAAAGTCACCGTGCCACGTCCCATCTACATACACAGCACAAAAAGACACAAGACACTGATTGAGCACAAAACTCCAGGAGACAAGTACCACAATGCCTTGTAAGAAACTGAGTTACAATCATGTCATATTTTATTATCAGATTATTATGTAATGGTAAGCACTGTTTAAAGTTATCTCAAGGTCTATTGTTACAAATATTTGGTTAAATTTAAAACACATTTTAATATTTCAATTTCATCATATTTTCCTTTATTTAAAATACACATGCCTTTCATGTTGCTAAAGAAACATAGGACTCCAGATATTTTAAGTTAGAAATGAGCTATTCAGAAAGGTAAACTTACCGCCAGAGTTACTGGGTGGCTGAAAACTATGGACAGCATGCTGTGAATAGTAATGATCATAAAATTCAGCAGGGTTTTGTAAGGACTCATAGCTGGCACTGAGCTGCCTTTCACCAGGCGGGTGTGATGAGCCTGGAGAGCAGTGATTCTCTCTAGGTACTTTCATCACGTGTTCCGGAAAGCCCGGGCAGTGGTAAGCACCACTCAGACTTGGTGGTGTCAAAGGTGTATCCGGTTGACCAAGTACTCCGGCTTGACCGTGAGGGCCCACAATTCCTGGGGGGGGAGGCAGCAAAGGTGGGCTCTGTGGCACTGGTAGGCCAGGACAGTGTCCGGGGGAGCCGGGGTGGATCACAGGACTGTTGTGTCCCTGAGACATGTTAGGGCCAGGACCTGGACTTGACCCAGAACTATAGACATGTTGAGGATGTGGGCTGCTTTCCTGAAATTGTGGTCCTGGTGGTGAGGCACTGTTATAAAATGCTGGTGGCCTGTGGACAAAAGAATAATATTTCTTAGTACACAGAAGAGGCAACCAAGAGCATTACATCTCTAAATAGATATTGGACCTTTGCTGACAAAGGTCCATCTAGTCAAGGCTATGGTTTTTCCAGTAGTCATGTATGGATGTGAGAGTTGGACCATAAAGAAAGCTGAGCACCATAGAACTGATGCCTTCGAACTGTGGTGCTGGAGAAGACTCTTGAGAGTCCCTTGAACAGCAAGGAGATCAAACCAATCAATCCTAAAGGAGATAAACCCTGAATATTCATTGGAAGGAATGAAAATTTTAACTTACTTCTTTCCAATTTTATGTGCTAAATCCACAGTAGGTTTTACAACTATTTCAAAAAGAGATGGAATTTTCTTAAAATCATCAGAGAGATCTGTCTGAAAACCATCTTCAGGATCAGAAAAGGGAAAATGCTCCAGTGGGGTTGGCAGAAGTCCAACTCCTGGAGGTGGTTTGGGAAGAGGAGTTATGCCATGCTTTCTAAGTTCTTCTAATTCTCTTTCGTCTTCATTTGCAGCTTCTTCAGTATTTAACACCTAAAGATAATTGGCCAAGATTTACTATTTCAAAACAAGCTTTCTTCCTCACATTTAAAACTGTGAAGAATTGAATAAACTAGTTTTGTTAACAGAAAAATATAATATTAAAGTTTAAACAGATCAGAGATAGTGAACTAATTTTTTATAAAGAATATGAGGTTCAAAGAGGTAAAGGATATTTCTCAAAGTAAATTAACTTTTTTAGAGGTCACACTTTGTGGTTCCCAAAGGCAGAGGGTAGGAGGAGTAGGAACTGGATGAAGGTACTAAAAAGGTACAAACTTCAAGTTATTAGATAAGTAAGTACTAGGGATGTGAGGCACAACATGGTGAATATAATTAACAGCGCTGTACCGTTATATACGAAATCTGTTAAGGGTGTTAAGCCCTAACAGTTCTCAACACGGAAAAAAAATCTTTTCTGTTTCTTTAATTTTGTATCTATTTGAGATAATGGAGTTTGCTAAGCTTGCGATAATTTCATGATGTATGTAAGTTGAATCATGTTGTACATCTTATTCAGTGTTGTATACCAATTATATCTAAATAAAATTAGAAAATAAATGACATTTGAACAAAAGCTCAACCAATAAAAATAAATTTATGATGGACTGGTTGAAAAAATTTGTGATGGACTGTTTTTTAATGTCAGAACAATGATAAGAACAAAAGATTCTGGGTTTTTTTTTAAGGTTAAGGCAACTATATTATTTGCTATCATTAATAACTAAAGAACTATAATAGGTGCCACTAACTGAGCTTTTACTCTTCACTAGGAGTGGCAAGAAGTGTTTCATGTACATCACAATTGAATCTTATAAGAACAAAATATTCTTAATTCTTAGTCCAATATTCCTGCTTTTCTAACATACTACATTAACAGAATAAAACATAAAATAATAAGTCCTTGCTTTCTCAGCAAGAAAGTGAAGTCGCTCAGTTGTGTCCAACTCTTTGTGACCCCATGGATTGTAGCCTGCCAGACTCCTCTGTCCCTGGATTCTCCAGGCATAAAATATGACTTATAAAACATAATCAAAGTCTAATGAATCTGTAATCAAGGTACAAAAATATTACTCACTTTGTCCAAAAGTTTCTTTGTTTCTTTAGTCAGATCATCATGTGAAAATTTACAGTTGTCTCCTTGGTAACATTTTGCTCCACTGTGATAGAACTTACATGGAAATTCATGTAAATAGAAATATTAAGGAACAGACCAAGTAAAATCAAACTCTCATATTTTTAAAACAAAAAATACAACTGTGAAATCAATATAGCTTTATTACCATATATTGTACTAAATTTTCAACAGTAACAGATTATTTAATTTTTAAGATTAAATATTTTAAATGTGCTGTGGCAGATAATTCAAAAATTTTAAGTCTCTCCTACTCAGAACTACAAAACAAATTTTTTAAGAGCTTAGTTTTTTTTATTTTAAAAAACTTGACTGTACAAACTGTATTATTTTTTGTCAGTGATAGATATTTATGTCTTCTATAACAGTAGAGTTAGTAATGTGGGTAATTAACACAGACTTCCTTAAAAAGAGTTCTCAATCAAGATTTACAAATCACCTCCCAAATTACCATTGTAAATAAATTATGTCTAAAATTTAGTGAAAAATCTAGCTGCTTTCACCACTGATCAAGAGAGTCATGTTAATGTATATTATCTAGGGTTAAACAGATCACCAGCCCAGGTGGGATGCATAAGACAAGTGCTCGGGCCTGGTGCACTGGGAAGACCCAGAGGGATCAGGTGGAAAGGGAGGTGGGAGGGGGGACCGGGATGGGGAATACATGTAAATCCATGGCTAATTCATTTCAATGTATGACAAAAACCACTGCAATGCTGTAAAGTAATTAGCCTCCAACTAATAAAAATAAATGGAAAAAATAAAAAAATTTAAAAAAAAAGAGAGAGTCATGTTAAGATTTCAATAGTTTGTTGAGAGTACCATGACAGGAAAATGTTACATATAAATAGAACTTGGATAATTAGCTAATTCCACTAATAACTTATTTACTTATATTTATATTTGGCTGCACTGGGTCTTCACTGTTGTGTGCAGGCTTTCTCTAGCTGTGACTGGGGGCTACTCTCTAGCTGTGGGGCACAGGCTTCCCACTGCGCTGGCTTCTCTTGTTGCTGAGCACGGGCTCTAGGGTGTGCAGACTTCAGCAGTTGCAGAGCACGGGCGCAGTAGCTGCGGCATACTGGCTTAGTTGCCCCGCAGCATGTGGAATCTTCCTGGACCAGGGATTGAACCTGTGTCCCCTGCTTTGGCTGGTGGATTCTTTTTTGTTAGTTACATCAATTTTATTTTTTTAACTGGAGGATAATTGGTTTACAGAATTGTGTTAGTTTCTGCCATACATGGGCATGAATCAGCCATAGGTACACATTACGCCCCTTCCCTCTGAGCCTCTCTCCCCCTCCCTCCCCATCGCACCCCTCTTGGTCGTCACAGAGCCCCAGGTTCGAGCTCCCTGTGTCACACAGCAAATTCCCACTGGGCATCTGTTTTACACATCATAACGTATATGTTTCTGTGTTATTCTTTCAATTTGTCCCTCCCTCTCCTTCCCCTGCTGTGTTTACAAGTCTGTTCTCTACGTCTGTGTCTCCACTGCCTTATAAATAGGTTCATCAGTACCATCTTTCTAGATTCAACAAACGTACATATTTGTTTTTCTCTTTCTGATTTACTTTACTCTGTATTCATCCACCTCACTAGAACTGATTCGAATGACTCCCTGCTATGGCTGAGTGATACTCCACTGTGTATACGTACCACAGCCTCGTCATCCATTCATCTGTCGATGGACATCGGGACTGCCTTCACGCCCTAGCTATTCTAAGTAGTGCTGCCATGGACACTGAGGTCTCTTCAATAACTATTTTTTAAAAGTTGAAGTATAGTTAATTTATAATGTTTTGGAAGTTTCAGGTATACAGCAAAGTGATTCAGTTATACATATATACATCTACTCTCTTTCAAGAAAACAATTTTTTAAAGTAAAAATGGCTATAGCTATTTGTAATGACTATAAGTGTAATTTAATTACTTAAACTGTCACTTTACACAATAAAACAAAATACAGAACAAATAAATTTTGAGCAAACGTTTATATCTATGAAGAAAATAAAAGGGTCTGATATGTCATGTTAAAGTTAAATATCCCAACAATCAAAACCACAGGCTAATCTTAAAAATTTGGAGACAAAGAGCTAAACAAAATACTAAATCTAGAAGTATAGTGAAAAATATACCATTTCAGCTGGTATATGTTCTGGGAATTTCTGAGTAGTTTTTGGAAATTTATTACTGAAATCATCACACTGATAAGGTCAAGAAAGAAAAATCATGTGATTACCTTAGCAGATACAAAAGACAACTGAAAAAATTCAAGATTTTTTAATATTAAAACCTCTTAGTAAAATAAGGATATATATTAGATGTTGTTGTTTACTCTCTTAAGTCATGCTCAACTCTTTGCAACCCCATGAACTGTAGCCTGCTACACTCCTCTGTCCATGGAATTTCCCAGGCAAGAATACTGGAGTGGGTTGCCATTTCCTTCTCCAGGAGATCTTCCTGACAGAGGGATCGAACCCGAGTCTCCTGTTTTGCAGGCATATTCTTTACTACTGAGACACCTAGGAAGCCAAAGGATTTACATACTTAACCTGATTTTTTTTTAAATCAATCTTAAAATTGCCAAAGCAAAAGGGCATTACCTTTGAAACATGCTTTATGCTCCACAATTCCTATCATTTAACATTTTTCTGGAAATGTAGCCAATACTATTAAAATTATCATGCCAGAGATGGCATGACTATGGAGAAAAATATAAGAATAGATGGGAAGAATTCAGAAACAGTTCAATAAGGTGTTTGGTTTCTAAAGATATACATCAAATCTCAAAAAAAAAAAAACTTGTTTGAATAAGACAAATTTATTATAACATTTTTACACAAAAGGAGTATTTGCCCTTAGTAAGTATCAAACATACTATTACACAGCAGAATGGTCAGATAGCACAATGTATAATGGTATAGTACAGAAACAAAACTATGCTCGCTGAAAACTTAGAATATGGGCAGGTGACCTTTTAAATCTGTGAAGAGGAGTCAATGAACTAACCATTTGGAAAATAATAAGGTCTTTACTGAAGGAAATGCTTTATATATATATATGTTTAAATTAATTTATTTTTAACTGAAGGATAATTGCTTTACAAATTGGTTTTCATACATCAACACAAATCATATTATATGGACTATATACAGTGAAACGCCACATGGGTAGAGGCAGGAATACAATTAAATGCACCAGAAGTAGGGAAGAATATATAGGGCAGTACTTATCATTAGGTGGTAAGATTTGACAAGACTTGAATTTTATAATTTCCAACAATAATTTATTACTTATGAACCCAAGTAAATAATAATTAAGTCACAGAATAAATATGTTGTCAACTCCTTCAGAAAGCACAGCCTCTTGAAATACTTACAAATATTATTTAAAGTACGTTTATTTCAGATTTTTTTTTCCCAAAGAGAAGTTATTTCATTTCCCTAAAGAAGAAAACTCAGCTGACCTTCTGAAGTGCAAAGGCTGAAGAGATCTGGTTTACATAATGTGCCATTTTAAATTTAAAACCAAACTAGGCTTTCCAGATTATACTTATCATCCTTAAAGCCTCAATGACACTTGAAAACTGCAATATTTTGGTTAACGTTTTTAATAAAGGATATTATGCATATAAATGCAGTTCTCTCCTTTGGTACAATATCCTTGTAAATAAAATTTGCAAATCTCTTTCCTCTTCTCCAACTCTGCATCATGATCAAATTTACATTGATCTCCCTGTTCACAAAAAAAGAAAAGAAGAGAAAAAAAGAAACCACTGAGTTGAATTTTCTCTGTGGTGTTTCATGGTAGAACCATGGTTATATCTCCAGTCTTTAAATAATGAGCTTACAGTAATTCAAGCAATCCCTTAGAATTCTTGCCCAGGATAGTGGATGTGGCTTTGGGTGAAGAGGCAGAACAGTGAGCATGACCTCAGTGGACACTGCTTGGCTCCAGCACTCACCATTTCTGGCTGAGCTATTCTGGGGACTCATTTAACCTCTTGGTTTGACCATGATTAAAATGAGAATAATAACAGTAACTGAACTTTACTGCACATTGTAAACATGAAAACATTTAATATTAGTAAGCCACTTTGAACAGTACTTGCCACATAGCATCATGTGTCAATAAAATAAAATCTGATTTCAACAAGCTATATTATTGTCCCAGAATATAATTATATGAGTTCTGATATACAGTATTCAATGCAAGATCCATTTTGAAGAACTAGTTTTATTCCAACTATATGAGAAAAGACTCACCACCCCCAAAAATGACCTTAAATTTTAAAGATTTCAGAAGTTAAAATGATTTATGATACCCCTATAAATGTACCTTAATACATCTCCCTTCCAGAAAGTATTTGCAAATTTGTTTTCCTTTATGTTCCACTGTATGTTGATTAATAAATTCCTGAGTCATAATCTTCCATTTTTTCCCTGGTTTACTATACTGCAAGAAAAAAATTTACTTAAATAAAACATATGAAGTATTAAAAAGACATTAAAATTCATACTCAAATGAATCTAGAAAGCAGTACACATTGATTATTAAAAGTGGTGAAGATGGAACATTATGATGTTATTTATTTATCTGGAGAGAGGCGATGCATGCAAGCATGCTTTCAGAAAACTGCTTGCTGATACTGGTAGTTGCAAAGAACCCTATCTCTAATTTAATGAAGACATCTAACTACATTTTTCAAAATAAAACTGTGAAAACTTTAAACTTAATAACAATACTCAGTTTTGGCAAAGACACAATAAAATACACACTTTCATGTATAGTTGATAGAAAACTTAAAATATAGATATTGTCTGACACAAAATTTGTACTTTTCAGCACAAAATTCTGAAGGAATTATCAGGAAGGCACATGAAGATTTATTCACAAAAATAACCATTGCAGAATTATTTACAAGTAAAACAAACAAAATTTAGAAATACTCTGCACATCTGAAACTAGAAGGCAAATAAAACACATTATGGTACATTTAGAATATTATAAAGTCATTTAAAAAATCATGAGATGGAAAGACAATCTGGGGACACAAAATGTTCACAATACCTTACCAAGCGAAAAAGTGATCTGAGTTTATAATAATAAAGACAAAGGAAAAAACAACTAAAAGAATATACCCCTACCTTTAAGAGTGTGTATCTCTAGATGAATTTCTACAAAGTTATATATTGCTTGCATGTGTGGTTATTTTGTACTTTCGTTAGGGAAAAAAACTGAGGATATATTACCTTTAACTTTTAAATTTAAGAAAATTAAGAAAAACTAGTATATGATAGGAAACCTCACAGCCGTGCTTGCTTTCCTTAGTTCTCCTCAGGCCCCTATTCAACTTTTGCTGCAAGTATAAGAAGGCTGAGTAACAAGACAGTATGAGCTCTATGAAACAGCACTGCTTTTCAAGCTCCTAGCAGGCACAGTGCCTTACACATTGTAGGAGGTTTATAACGATTTACTTTTCTGAATTGATATCAGTTTTCCCTTTTCCCTCAATTTGCAAGATGATGAAGAACAAAGCACAATCTACTGAAATCTCTCATAGCAAACACCTGAGTAAATAGATAGGTAAAGTTAAATCTGATCCTCAGCGCTCACAACTGATGAATGATATAATTCACCAGATTTCTGGGAAAAAAAAAGTATCAGAATACCAGGAAAACATAATCTTCGAATTTCTTTTTAAAAAGTACATATAGATACACACATATACACATATATACATATACACACATACACACACGTGGGCATCCCATGAAAATGCAAAGAAACATTATACTCCACTCTGATAGGATCATTTTAAATGTCTTCAGTTCAGTTCAGTCGCTCAGTCATGTCCGACTCTTTGCAACCCCATGAACCGCAGCATGCCAGGCCTCCCTGTCCATCACCAACTCCCAGAGTTCACCTAAACCCATGTCCATTGAGTCAGTGATGCCATCCAACCATCTCATCCTCTGTCATCCCCTTCTCCTCCTGCCCTCAATCTTTCCCAGCATCAGGGTCTTTTCAAATGAGTCAGCTCTTCACATCAGGTGGCCCAAGTATGGGAGTTTCAGCTTCAGCATCAGTCCTTCCAATGAACACCCAGGACTGATCTCCTTTAGGATGGACTGGTTGGATCTCCTTGCAGTCCAAGGGACTCTCAAGAGTCTTCTCCAACACCACAGTTCAAAACCATCAATTCTTCAGTGCTCAGCTTTCTTTATAGTCCAACTTTCATATCCATACATGACTACTGGAAAAACCATAGCCTTGACTAGACGGACCTTTGTTGACAAAGTAATGTCTCTGCTTTTTAATATGCTGTCTAGGTTGGTCATAACTTTCTTTCCAAGGAGTAAGCGTCTTTTCATTTCATGGTTGCAATCACCATCTGCAGTGATTTTGGAGCCCCAAAAAATAAAGTATGACACTGTTTCCACTGTTTCCCCTTCTGCTTGCCATGAAGTGACGAGACTGGATGCCATGATCTTAGTTTTCTGAATGTTGAGCTTTAAGCCAACTTTTTCAGTCGCCTCTTTCACTTTCATCAAGAGGCTCTTTAGTTCTTCTTTGCTTTCTGTTATAAGGGTGGTGTCATCTGCATATCTGAGGTTGTTGATATTTCTCCCGGCAATCTTGATTCCAGCTTGTGCTTCTTCCAGCCCAGCGTTTCTCAGGATGTACTTTGCATAGAAGTTAAATAAGCAGGGTGACAATATACAGCCTTGATGTACTCCTTTTCCTATCTGGACCCAGTCTGTTGTTCCATGTCCAGTTCTAACCTTTGCTTCCTGACCTGCATACAGGTTTCTCAAGAGGCAGGTCAGGTAGTCTGGTATTCCCATCTCTTTCAGAATTTTCCAGTTTACTGTGATCCACATAGTCAAAGGCTTTAGCATAGTCAATAAAGCAGAAATACATGTCTTAAACCTACGTAAATTTTATTTACAAACATTTTCTATTTCCATGGGAAGTTTCCATAAGCCTCTTATCCTTATCCATCAGGGGGCAGAAGGAATGAAAATCACAATCACAGAAAACTAACCAAAATGATCACATGAACCACAGCCTTGTCTAACTTGATGAAACTACAAGTCATGCCATGTAGGGCCTCCCAAGATGGATGGGTCATGGTGGAGAGTTCTGTCAAAACGTGGTCCACTGGAGGAGGGAATGGCAAACTCCTTCAGTATTCCTGCCTTGAGAACCCCATGAACAGTATGAAAAGGCAAAAAGATATGACACTGAAAGATGAACTCACCAGGTCGGCAGGTGCCCAATATGCTCCTGGAGAAGAATGGAGAAATAACTTCAAAAAGAATGAGGCAACGGAGCCAAAGCAAAAATAGAGCTCATTTGTGGATGTGACTGGTGATGGAAGTAAAGTCTGATGCTGTAAAGAACAATATTGCATAGGAACCTGGAATGTTAGGTCCATGAATCAAGGTAAATTGGAAGTGGTCAAACAGGCAATGGCAAGAGTGTGAACATTGACATTTTAGGAATCAGTGAACTAAAATGGACTGGAATGGGTGAATTTAATTGAGATGACCATTATAACTACAACTGTGGCCAAAGATCCCTTAGACGAAAAGGAGTAGCCCTTGTAGTAAAAAAAAAAGAGTCTGAAATGCAGTACTTGGGTGCAATCTCAAAAACAACAGAATTATCTCTGTTCGTTTCCAAGGTAAACCATTCAATATCACAGTAATCCAAGTCTATGCCCCAAACACTAATGCTGAAGAAGTTGAAGTAGAATGGTTCTATGAAGACCTACAAGACCTTCTAGAACTAACACCAAAAAAAGCTGTCCTTTTCATCATAGGGTACTGGAATGCAAAAGTAGGAAGTCAAGAGATGCAGGCAAGTTTGCAAAGCCTTAGAGTACAAAATGAAGCAGGGCAAAGGCTAACAGAGTTTTGCCAAGACAATGCACTGGTCATAGCAAACACCCTCTTCCAACAAAGAGAAGACTCTACACACGGACATAACCAGATGGTCAATACTGAAATCAGACTGATTATATTCTTTGCAGCCAAAGATAGAGAAGCTCTATACAGTCAGCAAAAACAAGACCAGGAGCCGATGGTGGCTCAGATCATGAACTCCTTATTGCCAAATTCAGACTTTAATTGAAGAAAGCAGGGAAAACCACTAGACCATTCAGGTATGACCTAAATCAAATCCCTTATGACTACACAGTGGAAGTGAAAAATATATTCAAGGAATTAGATCTGACAGAGTGTCTGAAGAACTATGGATGGAGGTTCATGACACTGTACAGGAGGCAGTCATAAAGACCATCCCCAAAAAAAGAAATGCAAAAAAGCAAAATAGTTGTCTGAGGAGGTCTTACAAATACCAGAGAAAAGAAGAGAAGCTAAAGGCAAAGGAGAAAAGGAGAGATTTACCGTTCTGACTGCAGAGTTCCAAAGAATAGCTAGAAGAGGTAAAAAAGCCATCCTCAGTGATCAATGCAGAGAAATAGAGGAAAACAATGGAATGGGAAAGACTAGAGATCTCTTCAAGAAAATTAGAGATACCAAGGGAACATTTCATGCTAAGATGGGCTCAATAAAGGTCAGAAACGGTATGGACCTAACAGAAGCAGAAGATATGAAGAAGAGGTGGCAAGAATACACAGAAGAAGAACTATACAAAAAAGATCTTCATGACCCAGATAACCATGATGGCGTGATCACTCACCTAGAGCCACACATCCTAGAGTGTGAAGTCAAGTGGGCCTTAGGAAGCATCACTACAAACAAAGCGAGTGGAGGTGATGGAATTCCAGTTGAGCTATTTCAAATCCTAAAACATGATGCTGTGAAAGTGCTGCATTCAATATGTCAGCAAATTTGGAAAACTCAGCACTGGCCACAGGACTGGAAAGGTCAGTTTTCATTCCAGTCCCAAAGAAGGGCAATGCCAAAAATGTTCAAACTACTGCACAATTACACTCTTCTCACACGCTAGCAAAGTAATGCTCAAAATTCTTCAAGCCAGGCTTCAACTGTACATGAACCATGAACTTCCAGATGTTTAAGATGCATTTAAAAAAGGCAAAGGAACCAGAGATCAAATGGCCAACATCCGCTGGATCATCAAATAAGCTACAGAGTTCCAAGAAAACATCTACCTCTGCTTTATTGACTATGTCAAAGCCTTTGACTGTGTGGATCACAACAAACTGTGGAAAATTCTTCAAGAGCTGGGAATACCGGACCACCTTACCTGCCTCCTGAGAAATCTGTATGCAGGTCAGGAAAAAACAGTTAGAACTAGACATGGAACAACAGACTGGTTCCAAATTGGGAAAGGAGTATGTCAAGGCTATATATTGTCACCCTGCTTATTTAACTTCTATGCAGAGTACATCATGAGAAACACTGGGCTGAATGAAGCACAAGCTGGAATCAAGATTGTCAGGAGGAATATCAATAACCTCAGATACACAGATGACACTACCCTTATGGCAGAAAGAGAAGAGGAACTAGAGTCTCTTGATGAAAGTGACAGAGGAGAGTGAAAAAGCTGGCTTAAAACTCAACATTTAAAAAACCAAGATCATAGCATCCAGTCCCATCACTTCATGGCAAACAGATGGGGAAACAATGGAAATAGTGACAGACTTTACTTTTGGGAGGCCCCAAAATCACTGCAGATGGTGACTACAGCCATGAAATTAAAGGGCGCTTGCTCCTTGAAGAAAAGCTATGCCCAACCTGCAGCTGCTGCTAAGTCGTGTTGGTTGTGTCCGACTATGTGCGCCCCACAGACGGCAGCCCACCAGGCTCCCCGTCCCTGGGATTCTCCAGGCAAGAACACTGGAGTGGGTTGCCATTTCCTTCACCAATGCATGAAAGTGAAAAGTGAAAGTCAAGCCGCTCAGTTGTGTCCAACTCTTAGTGACCCCATGGACTGCAGCCTGCCAGGCCCTTCCACCCATGGGATTTTCCAGGCAAGAGTACTAGAGTGGGTTGCCACTGCCTTCTCCAATGACCAACCTAAACAGCATATTAAAAAGCAGAGACCTTGCTTTGCCGACAAAGGTCTGTCTAGCCAAAGCTATGGTTTTGCCAGTAGTCATGTATGAATGTGAGATTTGGACCATAAAGAAAGCTGAGCCCTCTTTAGAGTCCCATGAACAGCAAGGAGATCCAACCAGTTAATCCTCAAGGAAAGTAGTCCTGAATAATCATTGGAAGGACTGATGCTGAAGGTGAAACTCCCAATTCTTTGGCAACCTGATGTGAAGAACTGACTCATTTGAAAAGACCCTGATGCTGGGAAAGATTGAAGGCAGGAGGAAAAGGGGATGACAAAGGAAGAGATGGTTGGATGGCATCACCAACTTGATGGACATGAGTTTGAGCAAGCTCCAGGAGTTGATGATGGACAGGGAATCCTGGCATGCTGCAGTCAGTGGGGTCACAAAGAGTCAGACATGACTGAGCAACTGAACTGAAAAATTTTTTTATAAACATTTTCTATTTCTAGGCTCACTTAGAACAAGTAGATATAAGACCAGTTCACATATGCCTTCTTAACAAGGATTGTGGCTGTAATGAAATAGGCAGCCAAAGACAGCACCATGCGAAGTCAAAGAGCCAACTTGAGGAATATAACTCTGAAATCAAAAAGTAAAAATATTAGGTAATGACCACCAGCCCCAATAAAACCCACTGAAAAATCCACCAAGTTGTACTCTGTACCCACCAGGTTCCTCTGTCCATGAGATTCTCCAGGCAAGTATACTGGAGAGGGTTGCTGCGCCCTCCTTCAGGGGATCTTCCCGACCCAGGGGTCAAACCCAGGCCTCTTATGTCTATCTGCACTGGCGGGTACATTCTTTACCAGTAGTGGCAACTGGGACACCCTTTAGTCGCTCTATCATGTTTGACTCTTTGTGACCCATGGACTATGGTCAGCTAGGCTCCCCCTGTCTATGGGATATCCCAGGCAAGAATACTGGAGTGGGTTGCCATTTCCTTCTCCAGGGATCTTCCTGACCCAGGGACAGTACCCATGTCTCCTGCTTGACAGGCAGATTCTTTAGGAAAGGAAAAATGTCCTAAAGCTGATAAATGCACAAGAAAGACTTTATTCTGATTTTCTATTACAAGATTAAGAAATTTTTAATTGCAGGCTAGATCTGGAAACATCTAAAATGTCAGTGCTTGAAGGGGCCATGAGAGTTAATTTAATACTGTACTGTAATATTACAGGTTAAGCAAACTGAAGCTCAGAGACAGGCAGTAACTCACTCAAAACCATACTTTCTTGGAAGCTAATTTTTTTTCACATATAGGGTATAAGTACCGAATACAGGAGAAGGTTTACTCAGAAAGTATTCAGATTAATCTGGTCCAGTGAAAGCAGCACATCCTAGACAACCACAGGTGCCTAGAAAGATGGAGAAGCAGGTTATAGTTTCCCAGAAATTCTAAGCTTATTTGCACAGAATAGTGAGTTAAGAATTAAGAGTGAATGTTCTCATTATCAGAGAAATGCAAATCAAAACCACAATGAGGTACCATTACACACCAGTCAGGATGGCTGCTATCCAAAAGTTTACAAGCAATAAGTGCTGGAGAGGGTGTGGAGAAAAGGGAACCCTCTTACACTGTTGGTGGGAATGCAAACTAGTACAGCCACTGTGGACAACAGTGTGGAGATTCCTTAAAAAACTGGAAATAGAACTGCCATATGACCCAGCAATCCCACTCCTGGGCATACACACGGAGGAAACCAGATCTGAAAGAGACACGTGCACCCCAATGTTCATCGCAGCACGGTTTATAATAGCTAGGACATGGAAGCAACCTAGATGCCTGTCAACAGATGACAGATAAGGATAAGGAATGGATAAGGAAGCTATGGTACATATACACAATGGAATATTACTCAGCCATTAAAAAGAATACATTTGAATCAGTTCTAATGAGATGGATGAAACTGGAGCCCATTATACAGAATGAAGTAGGCCAGAAAGATAAAGACCAATACAGTATACTATATATATATATATATATACATACACAGCATATATATGGAATTTAAAAAGTTGGTAACGATAACCCTATATGCAAAACAGAAAAAGACACAGATGTACAGAACAGCCTTTTGGACTCTGTGGGAAAAGGCGAGGGTGGGATGTTCTGAGACAATAGCATTGAAACAAGTATACTATCAAGGGTGAAGCAGATCACCAGCCCAGGTTGGATGCCTGAGACAAGTGCTCAGGGCTGGTGCACTGGGAAGACCCAGAGGGATGAGATGGGGAACACATGTAAATCCATGGCTGATTCATGTCAATGTATGGCAAAATCCACTACGATACTGTAAAGTAATTAGCCTCCAACTAATAAAAATAAATGAAAAAAAAAACTGGATGAAAAGTAAAAAATAAATAAATAAATCCTTAAAAAAAAAAAAAGAATTAAGAGTGAATGTTTGTAGGTGTGTGGAGGGAAAAAAAGAGTTCATGGTCAAGTAAATTTTGGAAATGATGGGTTGAACAAAGTCAAACAGACTTCTTTCTGCCTAATCTTCTCAGAGCCTTTAAACATTCATGTTAACTGAGAATCACCAGGAGTAGAGCAGTATGTGCTGGGTTTCACAAATTTATTTGGTCCTAAACTTTTTTTTTAAGGTCACACTTGTTAGCAACTCCCTAAACAGTATACTAAGGAGTATATATTAAAAAATCTTTGCCTGTTATCTTTAAACCCAGAGATTAGAAAACTGAGCATTTTCTAATTTCAATGTTACTATCCCTTTTCTATCAATCAGGGTTACAGCTATTCATAACTTACCAGTGCTCTGCATAATTCAATCAAATCTTACTGGAACAATGGCAGAATACAGAAATTGAATCACTCTTTGCGACCCCATGGACTTTAGCCTACCAGGCTCCTCCCTCCATGGGATCCTCCAGGCAAGAGTACTGGAGTGGGTTGCCATTTCCTTCTCCAGGGGATCTTCCCAACTCAAGGTTCGAACCCGGGTCTCTCACATTCCAGGCAGATGCTTTAACCTCTGAGCCACCAGGGAAGCCCACAATCTAGAAAGTCACTACAAGGTTGAAATGTATTTGTTCAGAGTTCAATTCAATTCAACATACATTTATTCAGTCTCTACTATACACATGGTTCATAAATTGATCTTTCCAAACATTAATACCTCCTTTCTTCTCTTTTAAGGATTTCAATTCTAAAAAGTAAGAGAATTTACCACTGTTTCCCTTCTTGGTCCTGCAACGTATTGAGCTATCAAGCATTTTATTGCCATTTGTGTCTAGGGAAGATGACCCCTAGGAAGGAAAAGTACAACAGAGAACCTACAGAACAAAAATTTTTGCTTTCAGACATATCAATTTTATTTTGAAGTGCTTTCGAACTTTGCAATTTTATTTCAATGTCACCTAAATGTGCATCTGTATACTAGTATCATAACTAAGTAAAACAAAACTTTTTTTGGAATTCATCTATATTCATTTGATATGAACTGAAAATTTTTCATTTACTAGGAAAGTAGCATTAAAATCACAATGCTTTCTTTGCAGCCAAGTAAGTTAAAAAGTAGAAACCTCAATATACATAAATTCTCATTACCTCATGATAGTCATCAGTTCCTGAAAACACATTTGGCCCTTTGTTGACCCTTCCGCCACGGTCTTTGCGTTTGATTTTTTTCAGCAAACCTCGTCCACGAGCAACATTAAAACTTTTAACCCTCTGCTCAGTACCTACAAAAGTTAAAATGTACTCTAGATATTATAAATAAAACAGCACACCAACCTACTAGTTTACAGAGAATAGCATATTTTAAATACTTTACAATGTATAGTGCATTCTTTTTTCCCTCTAGATTCAATGAAAAAAACTAATTCCATCTTTACATTTTACTTTAAGGTACTGTTTCTTATTGTTTTGTTTCTCAAGTGATGTTAGCAACATAAGGAAGGCAAGGTACATGGCTGGAGAATTCAAATCTAGTTTTATCCTTCTCAATTCTCCTTAGAATACACAATTAAGGAGGTTTTCTGTTTTTTAAGAGAATTAAATATTACATTCCTCTCTAAGGAAGACAATGAAGTATTAGTGATTAATTTGTAGCAAATTGTTTCTACTGATAATTTTGGATATCATATATACTGCCAAGCAAAATTTATACTTGTCTTTTACTTTTGAAAAACTTGATGTTTAAAAGTATCTAAACAGATACTTAAATTACAAAAATTATATATTAAGGTAGTAAGTTACAATACAAAGTGATTTCTCATTTTACCAAAGTCATATTGAACTACTAAGTTTTGCAATGATCTTAAATCTACAAAACAGCCAATAAATGCATGAAAAAAATATTTCACTTCATTAAAAGAAATTAAAAATTAACATACCAATTTTCACCTCAAAGAATAGGTGGTAGGGATTTGGAGAAACTGGCATTTTTGCACACTGGCGGAAGTGTTACAAATTGCTGTATCACCTTTTTGGATATCAGCTTGGTATATGGTTCAAAAATCTTCAAATGCACCTATGCCTTTTGACTCAATTCTATATGTCAGCATTTATTATTAGGAAAAAAATGTTTGCCAAGATGAGATATGTATAAATATGCAGGGTTAATCATAGAATTTTTTAAAAATGGGTGCAACTTAAATCTCAAATAATTACTAACAAATTTAGCAATTTAATAGATAAATTATGGTGCATCTATCAGAATCTACTCATTAATGTAAGAATGACAGAAATACAATTCACAATTAAAGGGAAAAAAAAACCAAGTTTTAACAGTGTATAGTTTTTTCTTAAAAATAATTCTCAAAACTTCTAGAAGAATGTTTGCCAAAAATATTAATAGTAATTGTCCCTGAGTGTAGAGATTCAAATTGTTTTTATCTTTGATCTTTGCTGCGTTATCGTTTTTTACACATAGAAAAAATTTTCTGCATTTGACCATGTATTACTTTCTTAATTCTGGGGGAAAAAATGAAATTCAGAATAAAATGCAATACTCAATTCATTAACAGAACGAAAAGAAGGAGTCTGAAAGGGAAAACCCCAGGTAGGAACGGATGAACAAGGACTCCACATTCCCTTTACTCCCCAAGTGGAGTGATCCCGGACACCGCTATGCCTGGACTCCAGGAACAAACGTACTAGTTACAATAGCACATGCATAGACAAATTCCTTCCTCTTTAGTTCAACAAAGCCTCAGTTCACATTTTTCAAAGGAATTTTACTAACAAGTCAAGAAAAAATAAAGCCACAAAAATAACCAAATTTACTCAGAATGGATTCTTTTTTTCAATGCTAATTAAAAGTAGTTATGTAGGGTTTGGGTTTCCCTGCTTCACCTCAGCCTCATCTTGCTCCAGTTTTCTTGAAGGAGACATGCTAACTAGACAATTTTTAAGGCTGATTTGACCCTTATGTGACCCATAATTTCTACGGAATCTTGTCCTGGTTTCCCCGGGGATGATGTACCTCAATATAACAGATGAATAGGTTATCTTCCAGAAATTTCTTTAGATTTTGTTCTTATTTCTGATTCAGAAAAATGTGTATAGTCCTTGGTTGGGTGGATGAAAGCATGTGCATGTATGCACTTCCATTTACCACACCACTCTGCTTGACTCCCTCCATTCAAACTGTAGTTACTTTATATTGTTAAGTTAATCCATTATGTTCCCATTGTTCCCATTATGGCTTGCAATTGTAATTCTTTTATTTTTTGTATGGCTATTGATTGTGAAAACTGATAAACATCTTTTACTCTTGTGATTATGTAACTATTACTCACTTAATACCACTGTATCATGATTGGTCAACAGAAAAATAATGTAAGTCCATATCACCCAAACTAGGATCTAACAGAAAAACCTGTAATCACTTTTTAAATTCCAGATGCATATCAGAGTTATCTTGAAACTTTTTGAAAACTACAAATGCTCAGGTATTGATTTTTTTCTCCAGAGCTCCAGATAAGTTTCTAATGAGCAGTCATGACCCAGAGGGATGGGATGGAGAGGGAGGCAGGAGGCGGGATCGGGATGAGGCTGTAAATCCATGGCTGATTCATGTCAATGTACGGCAAAAACCACTACAATATTGTAAAGTAATTAGCCTCCAACTCATAAAAATAAATGGGGGGAAAATAAATAAATAAATAAATTCTGTTTTGCTATTGAAAAATAAATAAATAAATAAAAACGATGCTTTTGAACTGTGGTGTTGGAGAAGACTCTTTAGAGTCCCCTGGACTACAAGGAGATCCAACCAGTCAATCCTAAAGGAAGTCAGTCCTGAACACTCACTGGAAGGACTGATGGTGAAGCTGAAACTCCAATACTTTGGCTACCTGATGTGAAGAACCAACTCATTGGGAAAGACCCTGATGCTTGGAAAGACTGAAGGCGGGAGGAGAAGGGGACGACAGATGAGATGGTTGGATGGCATCACCCATGCGACAGACATGAGTTTGAGTAGGCTCTGGGAGTTGGTGATGGACAGGGATGCTTGGCATGCTGTAGTCCTCCTCTTTGGGGTCGCAAAGAGTTGGACACAACTGAGCGACTGAACTGACTAAACTGGACTATATGATGATCTTTTATTTTTATCTAGTTTGTTTCACTTTTTCTATTTCATATTCAGTGCTCCCATTTCATTTAGTTTATGTTTTCCAATTTCTTGATCTCTTCTTTTTTATTATTATTTTTTGATGTTCTTTCTCAAGACTTTATCAAGTATAGTAGAAAAGTTTTTGTGTACATATGTATAAACATGTATAATACATATATTTTAGAAAAATTATGAATTTTTACCTAACAAAAAAAATTATGACATTTTGATTCCACTTGTTTGGCTTAGTATGAACAGAATGTTAGATTTCTAATTAAAAAATAGATACACAACAACAACAAAGGTTTACTGTATAACATAGGGAACTATAACCAGTATCTTGTAATAACCTATGATGAAAAATAATTTCAAAAATAGTATTTGTGTATTTGTATAACTGAATTACCTTGCTGTGTACCTGCAACATTTTAAGTCAACTATACTTCAATAAAATACATATATTTTTTAAAAGTCTATAGTATTGAGTATATTTAAACAGCAAAGATGATCACTACATTTTAAACTCTAATAAAAGAATAGCTTTCCAGGATTCTGTCTTTATAGGGTCTAAAATATAAAGTAATACAAGGTAATAGTTGAAAAGGATAGGTAATTTTTTTTCAGTATACTGACACCATATAGAAGAGAGGGGAAAAGGCAAAACAGGAAAGTTGTTCTACATTTTATAAACTTTAAAAATACTAGGAAATCTATTAAATGCAAATTTTAAGATATCATGCAGATTGAAATATCTGTAGATTTTTGTCCTCAAGGTCTACAAAATAAAGAAAAACAAATTCAGGAACCACAGGAATAAACTGACCATAACAAAGGGCTAAGAAATTAAAGTTTTTACTTCATAGCTACCTGTTTATCTTAATAAAGTTTTCATAGTCAAAACCAGACAATTTCAAACTTACCTTGCTGAATTCCTTTCAATCTTTGTTTTTTCCCTGGTTCTTTAGAAAAAGATGATCCTAAAGAAGTATTCGAGGTTTCTTTAGCTTGCCTGTATTGTTTCAGCTGACTGGCAAAATCTTCCTCAGTTTCCTGACTGTAGCTACCAAAGTTGTCATCACTGTAGGCACTGTACTCATCATATTCTTTACTTCTAAATTTTCTGTTATGTTGACTCTTCTTTGATGCCATGTAGCTTCCTGATATATGTCCATGCTAAGTGAAAATGAATAGCCATTGTCAGGACTTTTCAGTTACATATAGAGGAGTTGATAGTAACACAGGACATCTTCCCCCACCCCCACCCCCAGAAAGCTGGGAGAAAGAAGAGGAAAAGAGTTGTTCTGTCTTGTGGTTAGAATTTATCTATGGAACTATTTAAAACTAAGTTTAAAAAGCTAAATGGTACTCTGATGTTATTAAACATTGTAATGTTTATAAAACCTTGCTGGTGAGTGTGTCTTGTTCACTTTATTTTCCATGTCCATGTCTTACATTTCTCATGCTCCATACCTCAATATTTGTATCCACAGAAGTACTTTAAAATCCGTATCAACATACACAAATTCCTTCTCCAAAAAACCAAAGAGGTCTTTTAAAAAATAGAAAAAAAAAACAGTAAAACAGCTTGGAGAAAGAGTAGAAAATATACAGTCTCCTTAGGATTGAAAAATTCCCAAATGACATGTTTAAGAATATTATATTTAATAAAAAATATGTAAGGTCAAATTTGTAAAAAGAAAATGTTTGTATATGAGATTTAATAGGAAAAAAAAATAGAGATGTCCCTAATAATGAAAAACATCTAATGAATAAATTGCTCATTAGAAACTATTTATTGCATTTATCCATTATGAATTTTATTGCTTTTTACTAAAGCATGTAAAAATAAAAAATACATTGTAGTCCTAGAAGTTTATTTAGTGATAGTATTCAAGTACTTCTCTAATCACTGAAATATTTTCATTACTTCTATCATATCTTGTCAATCTTTTTATAATAAAGCAAGAAAAAATTGCACATAATTACAACTTGAGGATCTAGAAAAAGTCAGACCATGACTCATTTTCAGTTTAGTACATTTTAAATGATATAAAATACTACCCTGGCAGAATACCAACATGAGACTGTGTTTTTAATAAAATACAGAGAAATATTAAGTCCTTTCTAGGAATTATAAAATAGAGAAAAAGTATATAACTGAAGCAATCAAGAAAATCAATTAACATCGATTTTGAATTTTGAAGACATTGTATTAGATTTCCAACATTCTTAAAGCAACATTTTTAAAGTTTATCAACTGTTCTCAGTCTAGCACTTCAGAAATTCAGAAGGGGATTTAGGATTATAGCCAAAAGGCAGTGTTTCTTACATTTTTTAAAAAGCCACTATTAAAACAAAAAATAACTGCTTTGCTTAAGCTGAAGATTAATTTATTGAGTGATACTTACATTTCCTTTTATTAAAAGTGTGATTATATTAATTCTTCAATGATATATTTCAATGCTTAATGACTAAAGATTACTGTTAACGGGCAACTGTGAATTTTTCTCTAGAAATTAGATGCTTTATACAAAAGCTTTTAAGCGTTAATATTAATCCAGTTCTCTTGATTTTTCACAGCCTTTACAAAAATAATCTCCATAATTCCAATTTTTTCAAGCAGAATTACCCCTAAACTTTCAATTCATCCCTCCCTTGATTTCCCGACTGCAAATGATCCTACTATCCCTCTAATGATGCAAATCTCCCATCTCAGGGCTGCTTCTGCAGAGACAGACTCTAATGTGCCTGCTGCAGTTCTTGGTGTTTACATCGGGCACCACCCAAGCTCTCCTGGAAGTGCTAAACGCACTGAGGGGTTACAGAGCAGCCCCGGGTCTCTAGAAGAGAAGCTCCTCGCGCTTCACAAGCTCCTCATCTGGAATGAACAAAATGTACTCACCAGCAAGGATCTAGCAAGTATTTTTAAAAGCCCTCCTAAAGATAAAAGAAATGAAAAAGACTATAAATTCTACCAAAAGATATAGTTTCTCCAATCCCTTTGCTTATTGATTACTAGGCTATATACCTGCCTGAATGCCTGTGGGGGCAGGTTTGGTTTCTGTAACACAGGCTGTCATTATAAACATAAAATAAGAGTACAGGAGACCCTGAACAAGGGTGAGGAAAAAGGAAAACATATTAAGTCCTTCAGTTTCATAGTTCAGATGCTAATACTACATTCGATTATTGCCTTTTAGAGTAAAAGTTTCATATAGTACCTACTTGATATCTCATTAAATGAGGTTTTTAGGATATACTTTCTAATCTCAGTGAGTCAACCCTAAAGCTTATGTGAAGGAAATGATCCTGAACTTTCTTTTCTAATGCCAGATTAGGTAATCTAATTCAGAGCAGCCCTTCTCCTAAAAAAATGCAGAAAGGGTAGACAAAGCATTTTTTTTCAAACCACTGTAGACATCAGAGAGCTAACAAATTAGTGAAGGATTTCTGGACCATTATTCATGGAATAGATGAAAATCCCCAGAATTGAGCAGTACTTGGAGCTGTTTTTGCTCTGAAAGCACTAGCCCATCATCAAAAATCATCTGGCAGGTTCAACAATACTTTTGACTATCCTTTTAACTTTTGGGAACAAAAGGAGAAGTCCAGATTCTGGAAAAAGTGGAAACCTTCATAATCCCCAGCTGCAAAAACTCAGAAAGTCTGGGGTTTTTAAGGTATATGCACACTGACCTGAATACTCCTCAGTACTCCTGAGAGCACCAGGATCTTTCCAGCATAAAGTAATATTTATACTAAAATCTTGCTCATACTATGCAATATACTTAAGGAAGATATAAAGTATATCATGTTTTAATTTTTTTTCTGTTTGAAACACACCAAATAACATTTGCACTTGAAAAGGTAGATGGCACAAAATTCCTATATTGAAGCCCTAACCCTCAATACCTCAACATGTGACAGTGTTTGGAGAAAGGGACTTTATTTTTCTTTTTCTTTTTTTTTCGAGAAAGGGACTTTAAAGTGGTGATTAACTTGCAATGAAGATGTTAGGCTGAGTCCTGACCCAATCTGATTGCTCTCTAAGAGGAAATATGAACACACAGAGGGACCAAGGGTCCACATGCACAGAGGGATGACCACACGAGGACAAAGCAGCAAGGAGGTCTACAAGCCTGCAAGCCTACAAGCCAAGGAGGAAAGCCAAACAGATCCTTCCTTTGCGGCCCTCAGAGAGAACCAACCCTGCCAGCACCTCAATCCCGGACTCAGATCTAGCCTCCGGACTGTGAGAAAAGTAAATTTCTGCTGTTTAAGCCACCAGTCTGTGGTATGTTGTTATGGCAGCCCTAGCAAACAAATACATGATGTACTCTTTATGTTCAAAGATTTGAAATTGTAGCAGATCTTATAGAATATTTTTTTAAATATCAGAAAGCAAAGAATGAAATTGAAAGCTTAATTTTTCTCTTTAAAAGGCAGTAATTCAAAAAATATCATTTCACAGCTATTAAGAAGGCTCTTGGGCTTTCCAGGCGGCTCAGTGGTAAAGAATCCACCTGCAATGCAGGAGATGCGGATTCAGTCCGTGGGTTGAGAAGGTCCCTTGGAGGAGGAAATGGCAATCTGCTCCAGTATTCCTGCCAGAAAAATCCCATGGACAGAGAAGCCTGGTGGGCTATAGTTCATGGGGTTGCAAAGGATCAGACACAACTTAGCAACTGCACACATACGCACAAGAAGGCTCTTATCCAAAACAAAACAAACAAGCAAAAAAAACAGAAAATAACAAGTTTGACAAGGATGTGAAGCAATTAGAAAAGTCTCAAGTATTTGTTGGTGGAAATGTAAACTGATGCAGCCTTTGTGGGAAACAATTGGTAGTTCCTCAGGAAGTTAAATGCAGAAATAACACATCATCAAGCAATTTCACTCCTAGGTCTACACCCCCAAAGACTTGACAGCAGAGTCTCAAAGAGATGTCTATACACCCACATTCATAGCAGCATTATTAACAATAGGCAAAAGGTGGAAGCAATCCAAGTAACTATCAATAGAGGAATAAATTAACAAAATGTGGTATATATCTATAATGGAATATTATCCAGCTTCGAAAAGGAAGGAAATTCTGATACATGCTATTGCAACATAGATGGACCTTGAAAAAATTACACTAAGTAAAAAAAGTCAGACACAAAAGGACAGTGTATGAAGTGCCCAGAGAGACAAATTCACAGAGACGGAAAGAGTAGTGGTTACCAGGAGTGGGGGAGGGAGCAATGAGACATTACTGTTTGGCAGACACTGCTTCTTTTTAGGATGACAAAAATGTTCTGGGAACAGATAGATGTGATTGTTTCAAAACATGGTAAATACACTTAATGTCATAGAGTAACTATCTATTTTTAAATGGTGAAAATAGTGAGTTTTTCCAAAGAAGATATACGAGTGGTCAACAGACACATGAAAAGATGCTCAATCAGGGAAATGCAAATCAAAACCACAAGGATATATCACCTCACACCTGGCAGACTGGCCATCATCAATAAGATAAGAAATAACAGGTATTGGTGAAATGTGGAGGAAAGGGAACACTTGTACACTGTTGGTGGGAATGTAAATTGGTGCAGCCACTACAGAAAACAGTACAAAGGTTTCTCAAAATATTAAAAAACAGAACTATCATATGAAAAAAAAAAAAAAACAACTATCATATGATCCAGCATTCCACTTCTGGATATTTTACCAGAGAAAATAAAAACATTAATTTGAAAAGATATATGCACCCCTATGTTCACTGCTGCATTATTTACAGTGGCCAAGATATGGAAATGACCTAAGTGTTCATTAATGGATGAATGGATAAAGATATGTAGCACATACACAATGGAATATTACTCGACCATAAAAAAGAATGAAACCTTGCCATGTGAAACAGCATGGATGGACCTAGAGGGCATCATATTAAGTGAAATAAGTGAAAGTCTGGTAACCAGACTTGTCATGGTATAATTTTGTAATGTACAGAAATAATGAATGCTATTATTATAATACATTGTGTACCTGGAACTAACATAGTGTTGTAGGTCAATTCTACTTCAATTTTTAGAGAAAGAAAAATAGTTAAAACTGTAAATTTTTATGCTATGCATATTTTATGACAATAAAAATAAAGAAATACCTGAGAAAATGGAATGTCATAATCTCTGTAGAAACCAGATCTTTTTCTGTGGGCAGTTTCTGTATGTTCGACCTCTGAATCAAGGCTATAGTCTGAACTATCATCACTGGATGGAGAATTATGCTAAAAGAAGGAAAAACCAAAACTGTTACATTTACAAAAGGAAGAAAATTTAACTAATAACTGAGTAAGCTTGTTTCAACCAGAGGGGCCAACCAATAGATGATATTATCCTAGTAGGTTCTGAAGTATTAACTGAAAAATTCTTGCTCCAAAGACCACCTCCACCCCAGCTTCTCTAAAATTTTCTGAAGAAAAGTACATACTCCTCTTCTCTCAGAGATTTTATGGCGGCATTTTCTCTATCATCCCTTTGGCCCAAGGACTTCAAACAGAAAATACTGTACCTCTACATGCTCTAAAGGGACCTTAAATTTAAGTTAATCTTAAAGGAAATAAAATTGGTTCCTCATCCCCAAAAAGGTCCTAGAACATGAATTGAGTATGAATTATTATTTTTTTACCTAAAATGGCTTAAGAGTTCTTAATCTAGTATATAAGTACCCTAAATCTAAAATATACCAAAAATTCCAAATTATAAATATAAAATAAATCCAATCCACAAAATTGAACAAAGATGAAATGCAAACCACAAGTAATTGATAGTGATTGACAAATATCATGAATAAGTTTTTTCAAGTATGAATGCAATTTCATTCGTTCAGATCACCAAATCTCCTCCATCTGGTCAAAATAATTACCTTCCCAGGTTGAGCATACTCTTTAAAAATATTTTTTAAAGTTCTTATCAACAAAGACACTGGCTCTGTATTTTATCATCCTTGAATTTCCAGCATCAAGGTCTAGAACAAACTCAGTAAAAATGTGCCAAACTAAACTGAGCTCTTGATACTTTAACAGAAGGATCTGTTTTCCTCTATTCCGTTCTTAAATGCTCACTTAAGATGACTAACTGTTTTCCTCTACATTGTTCTCAAATGTTCTTGGGTTTAGTTTTGTGGTGCTGTCCTGTTTCTGTTGATTTGATAGGTGATATGAAGATCTTTTTATAATTATGCTATGAAACACTTCAAGCTTAACTATCTAATCTTTTTGGGTAAGATTTGAAATAAATATTATTGATTTAAAAGCCAAATTTGCTATGTTACTAGCAGAAGTCAGCTCTGGCTCAAAAGAACACTTTTCATTTGAAGAACACTAAGACGACTCGCCTAAGAAGAAGTTCAAACAAGGGCCTTGCTTCAGGAAGAGCCATCAGAAAAGAGAAGATTCTGCTGAAAGAAGAGGATTCTTCAGGCTATCGCCCCAAAATGAGTCTAGAATACAGATTTAAGAAGCCATTATGCAGGCTATCATAAAATGAAAAAGAAAACATACCATGTGGCTCATATATAATAATAAGTAAGAATAATTATTAACCTGAAATTAGCAACTGGACTACATTAAAAATAGCTAGAAATAGAAGAGAGTAATTAAAATTATTACATTTTTAAGTGAAAAGGATAGTATACTTTTTATTTCAGAATTTTTGTGTTTCTTTTTTTGGGGTATTGTTTAGTATCTGTTTAGTGTTTGAAAGTGTTCCTTTAATTTTGTTATTTTACTTATAATACACTGGATTATTATAATACAGTGGATTATTTCTTTCAATCCACTTGTTTACTAAGTACTAAAGTTCAAGTCTAAATGATTATGTTTTCTGTGGAACTCTTTAACAACATGACACCACATCGCGGTGAGTAAAGAGGGCAAAAGACATACAGTCGAGAACTAATTAACAGGACGGCCACTTAGGGAACCCTTCAAAGCTTCAGTGACACAAAGAATTTAGAGACCTCAGTGACTTCCCTGAACATGGCAGCCTTTTCACACCTTTTTGCTTTTGTATTCTTTGTGTCTCTTCGGTCAAACAACTAATTCCTACCTGTCCTTCAAAATCTACCACAAATGAGGAAAACAGTTTTCTGTTTCACTGTCTATTTTTCCATGTACCAGTATCACAGTGCTTTAATGACAGAGGCGTTAATGTGCTTTAATATGTTAGGGTCACGCCACATATTCCTCCTTTGGGGGTTTTCCTATCTATTCTTGGATGGTAGTTTGAAAGGTGAAGTCCACAAATTACTCCTGTCCTCAAGAGATAAAGATTAATTCTTCTCCCCTTGAGTGAGGCCTAAACTTAGAAGCTTGTTTCTAGTCAACAGAACTTGTCCAAAGTGCTTAGGTTAAGAAGACTGTAGCTGTCATCATGGGTGCTCTCACTTGCTCTCTCACTGTTGGCTCACTTGCTCTGGAGGAAGTGAGCCAAACCATGAGGACGCTGCTGTGACATGTAAAGAGGTTCACATGGGGAGGAGCTGAGGCTGCCAAGAGCCTCATGACTGAACTTGGAAGAGGAGATGACTGCAACCTCACAAGAAGTGCTGAGCCAGAATCACCAAGTTAAGACATACCCATGTTTCTGACCCACAGAAACAGAGAGGCAAACTCATTGTTTTAAGCTTCTAAGTTTGGAGTAGTCTGTGCAGCAATAGTTAGCTAATACAGATTCTGGAAATGTGGTGCTGCCAGTACAAACATCTAAAAGGCAGGACTGGTTTTGGAATTAGGCAAGGAATAGATACTGGAATGACATTAGGAAGCACTAGTGAAAGCCTCAGTTCAGTTCAGTTCAGTCACTCAGTTGTGTCCGACTCAGTTCAGTTCAGTTCAGTCACTCAGTCGTGTCCGACTCTTTGCAACCCCATGAATCGCAGCACGCCAGGCCTCCCTGTCCATCACCAACTCCCGGAGTTTACTCAAACTCATGTCCATCGAGTCGGTGATGCCATCCAGCCATCTCATCCTCTGTCGTTCCCTTCTCCTCCTGCCCCCAATCCCTCCCAACATCAGGGTCTTTTCCAATGAGTCAACTCTTCACATGAGGTGGCCAAAGTATTAAGAGTTTCAGCCTCAGCATCAGTCCTTCCAATGAACACACAGGACTGATCTCCTTTAGGATGGACTGGTTGGCTCTCCGTGCAGTCCAAGGGACTCTCAAGAGTCTTCTCCAACTGGACACGGACCAACAGACTGGTTCCAAATCGGAAAAGAAGTACGTCAAGGCTGTATATTGTCACCCTGCTTATTTAACCTATATGCAGAGTACATCATGAGAAATGCTGGGCTGGAAGAATCACAAGCTGGAATCAAGATTGCTGGGAGAAATATCAATAACCTCAGATATGCAGACGACACCACCCTTATGGCCAAAAGTGAAGAGGAACTAAAAAGCCTCTTGATGAAAGTGAAAGAGGAGAGTGAAAAAGTTGGCTTAAAGCTCAACATTCAGAAAACTAAGATCATGGCATCTGGTCCCATCACTTCATGGGAAATAGATGGGGAAACAGTGGAAGCAGTGTCAGACTTTATTTTTTTGGGCTCCAAAATCACTGCAGATGGTGATTGCAGCCATGAAATTAAAAGACGCTTACTCCTTGGAAAGAAAGTTATGACCAACCTAGACAGCATATTAAAAAGCAGAGACATTACTTTGCCAGCAAAGGTCCGTCGAGTCAAGGCTATTGTTTTTCCAGTGGTCATGTATGGATGTGAGAGTGAAAGCCTAGATCACCCTTAATGATCATTAGTAAAATTTTGAACTTTGGGGTAACTTAAAGGAAAGAGAGAGATATCTTATTAAAAGTGGAGGGGCTTCCCTGGTGGCACAGGGGTTTGATCCCTGGTCTGGGAAGACTCCATATGCTATAGGGCAACTAAACCGGAGTGCTACAAGTACTAAGCCCGTGCTCTAGAGCCTGGGGGCCACAACTACTGAGACCAAGCACTCTGGAGCCTGTGCTACACAAGAGGAGCCACTGCAATGAGAAGCCTGTGTCCTGCAGCCCCAGCCACCACTTGCCAGAACTACAGAAAGCCCATGCAGCCACAGACCCAGCACAGTCAAAAGTAAATAAAGGAGTGGCAAAAGGGAGATCTTCCTTGTATAGTGGCAGAAATCTAGCAACATTGTTACATTCAGTAAAATGGAAAGTAGAAAATAAGCTAATGAACTAGTTAAGATTTTCAAGCAAAATGTTGAAAGTACCTCTCTATGAGGGAAGATGGATAACTTAAATGAAGAACTGTTAAAAAGGAATCAGGGCATGATGGTTTTAAAAGTTCTTAGCCTCAAAATATCTAACTTTGTTTTTGCATCTCCTTTTTCTTGACTAGTTTGGCCAATAATTTATATATCTTGCTGATCTTTTTTTGTAAAACTGACTTTACATTTTAATTTGTTAAATTCTGCTTGTAACTTTAAGCTCTTCCTTTTTGTTTCTCTCTTTGCTGTTTTCTAGATTTTAATACCATAATAATTTTTCTTCTGATAATTTTGTAGCTATCCTTCATATGTCAAAGTTTTATAATTATATTCCTGAAATTCTGCAGTTTTAATCTGTGTTCAAAGGCATTTCTTGTTTCTGACTTTGTTATTAATGTCTTACTTTATTGCATTGTGGTTTGAGATTGCTCTTTATATTATTTGTACTCTACTGAATTAACTGGAGTTTGTTGCCTACGACATGGCCTGGGTTTTTTTTTCCCATGGTCTGTTTTTATGAGTATTCCAAGTATACTTGAGAGGAAGATATATTCTCAGGATTCAGAGCTTAATATATATTTATAATATTTCTTTAATATCCTTATCATCTCTTCATCGATTTGATTGATATCTTTGGGATAAGAGCAGTTACTAATCCATCTCCTGTTATTACTATTCCTATTTCTTCTCATAGTTCCTATAGTTCCTACTTTATGAAAACTGATGTTTAAGGGAATATAAAATATTAACAACATAGCTTCATTGTGAATTATAATCCTTAACATTATAAAATGCCCTTCTTTGATTCTTTCAATGCTTTTTATAAAAAATTTGTTTTTAGTTGGAGAATAAGCGCTTTACAGTATTGTGCTGGCTTCTGCCATACAATGTGAATCAACCATCAAGTATACGTGTGTCTCCTCCCTCTTGAATCCCCCGCCCCCTACCCACCTCAACGTTGCACTCTGTTCAATGCCTTCTTGACCTAAATTTGACTCTTCTTTTGCCACACCCCTACAGCAGGCAGGATCTTAGTTTTCAGACCAGGGATCAAACCCATGCTCCCTGTATTGGAAACACAGAGTCTTAACCACTGGACCGATGGGGAAGTTCCTTGACTTTTTCATATATCAACACTGTGACTTCTGCCTTCTCTTTCTTTGCATTTGCCTGGTACTTCTTTACCCATTTTTTAAAATCTTTCTCTGTTACATAGCTAAGAGTTAGATTTTGCATTGTTGGGGAGTGTATCTTGTGGTATTTGGAAGATTATAGTTTTGTTTCAATTACTTCTTTCAGACTGCCTTTTTCCAATAACCTGAGTCCCTATCCCTTCTTTGCATATTATTTGTTTACTAGAAGAACTAATGTGGAAATTAGGCAGTAACCTCTTCTTCTCTTTCCTCTCTTTCATTCTCAGGATAATAATTTGAAGTATATTTTAAAACTCTCAGTTAATAACTATAAAGCTACCAATAAAGTTATCTTGCTTACCATATATTCTTCTGCTTTTCCTGACACCTTCTATAGCCGTAATGTTTCGATACATAATATTCTGCCCTGGCTTATATTATTTATTTTTAGTTTTATAGACAAATATGTAGTGTATATAGATCACTCTTGCTTTATCACTCAGTCATTCTGGATATCTGAACTTGTTCTCTAGTAGATTTTATGTGAATGTTTATGACACTATTTCCTGATTTCTATTATATACAGTTTTTCTGAGGACATTATATTTGAAATTTGGTATGTACCTGTATATAAAATGCTTGGCTCATATTTTATTCAAATATGTTACCCCATGATCTTCTGGCACAAAATAGTGACATCAAAAATTTTTTTATAAATCTGATTTTCCTTTCTTAATAAGTGACTTCGTCTTTTTGCCTAAATGATCAAAGGATCCCCCTGCAAATTCTACTGATGCTATCTGTTCATAGTTTGTATTTTTGTAATTTTTAAAAATCATTTTGAAATATTAGGTTAAGTTTTTCATGCTTTGGGGGCACTCTTTCTTTTCTGGAAGAATGTTATTCTCTCCATTTTCCTTTTTTTTTTTTTTTAATAATAGTAATTTATATGGAATGTGATCATGGTCCAATCTTGTTGCTCAGGTATCAAAGGAAGAACGGACCAGAAAAACTGTCTCAGCTTCACTCTCATGTTGTTAGCATGAAGCATGAAAAAATATGGCTACGTATGTTCTGAGATAAGCCACCCCTGCTCTCTAACCCATTTTTCTTTCCTTAGCCCTATTATTCCCGTCCTCTCAAGCTAGATTCAACTCCCAGCAGCTATCTCTTCAGGGTGGGACTCTGTTCTAGAAGAAATTTAGTTGATCAGCATTATGAGTTCAGCAGACCCAGACCATTCCAGCACCATCCAATTTTACCTGGTCACCTTATACTCACACGTGAACTGGAAACTAATACAGTCCCCTCTCAGTTTCCATTGATGTTTCTCAGTTTGGCCAACAGGCTCTCCACATTCACTGGGGACTCTTTGAGATGAATACCTGTTGGTAATCTGTTTTCTGGAAGGTTCTTTACCTTTTCTCTGCTTCATTTCATACAGCTGCTGATCCTACTCTAGTCTTGGTCTATGGTTTGGCCTTATCCTTTTGTATTTCTGAGGTCTGTGGAGGTAACTTGTTACTTCATTTTTCAGTAGATGTTGCCAATGCATTCTTGGTTTTGCCATCCTAACTGCTCTGTTTTTATGGGGGAAATTCAGGGAGTTTAGAAAAATCACCCCACTACTACTGCCAACTTCAGTTCTCTGTCAGTATAAGGTCTCTCTGCTCAGCCCTGACCCACACCATGCTGTATCCAGCACTCAGCTATTCTCTTGGTAGCATTTGGCTTTCAGTTGCTCCATGCCTCTCTCCTCCTCGTTTCAGTGTAAGCTCTGTAAGAGCAGAGACTGTTTCATTCATTACTGTAACCCCCAGCATACAGCACGAAGATTTCCACAGCATGCATGTAGTAATACTTATGAATGAATAAATAAATGAATGGGTAAACAAGGCCGGTGCTGACAATCTACATCTGTGGAGAATGAAATTTTCTTTCCTTAAGCTTTCAGTATTCTTGCACACAATCTTCTATCAATTAAAAAGGTTTACTCTAATTTGTATTAAAACTACCTTATTTTTAAATCTTTAAGATATATCATATAATCTTTATATTCAGAAAATCTATTAAGCACATAAATCAAAAGATCTAATTCATATATTTTATAAGAAAATAGGCAATGATTTATACTTTCTAATTTTCAGTGTAGTGTTTTACATTTCATAAAAATTTACCAAAGAAACAAAAAATAGATTCTAACTAACCTTATGCTTCTCACGTTTTCTCCTTTTGGACTTTTTCTTCTCTTTTTCTTTCTTGTGTTTTTTCCTTGATTTTCGGTAGGCTTTCTCATTTTTCTGCTTTTCATCCTCTTTTGCTTCCTGTTCCTGTGTTTCTTCAAATCCTGCATCATCTATTTCACCATCTTCTAATTCACCATCTTCTCTGTAAAAGGCAATGAAAATGTCAATTTTCAAATGTCAACTCAAAAGGGAATATTATAGAAACATTTCCAAATGAAAGGAAAAGTGAGTCAAGATTTTAAGTTATACTCAGTAAGATCAGGGATTGGTCAATTTTCTATAAAAGGTTAGATAGTAAATATTTCAAATCTGCAGGCCACATATAGTTTCTGTTGCAAATCCTCCTTTTTTAAAAACACCCTTCAAGAATGTAAGCAGCAATTTCAGCAGCTATAGTTTGCCAAACTTCGATTTAGATTAAAAGCATTGACTCTCACCAAACAAATGAATGATTGCATAATGCAATACTGTCCAAATATAACACTGCAATAATTATTAGGTTGGTGCAAAAGCAATTGCAGTTTTGCATTGTTGAAATTTGCCATTTGATATTGGAATACATTCTTAAGTAAATGTGGCTATGTTATACATAATTTTAATGTGCATTTCTCACTTTATGTTTCTTTGCTAATGACTTATTGCTGCTTATTTTATATTTATTTCAGATTATGGAAATGATGTTAGACAAAAAGCAAATTTGAGTGATTTTCTTCTTTTAGTTCAAAATGGGTCATAAAGCAGCGGAGAAAAGTCACAACATCAACAATGCATTTGGACCATGAACTGCTAATGAACGTACATGAAGTGATGGTTCTAGAAGGTTTGCAAAGACGAAACCCTCCAAGATGAAGAGCATGGCCATTGGAAGTTGACTATGACCAACTGAGAGCAACCATCGAAGCTGATTCTCTTAAAACTAATCAAGAAGTCGCCAAAGAACTCAACATAGACCACTGTATGGTCATTTGGCATTTGAAGTAAGTTGGAAAAGTGAAAAAGCTTGATAAGTGGGTGACTCAAATAAAAAAAAATTATAGTTTTGAAGTATCATCTTCTCTTATTGTATGCAACAACAAACCATTTAAGTGTATTTTATATTACAATTGGTGATCAGTTTCATGGCTGGACCGAGAAGAAACTCCAAAGCATTTCCCAAAGCCAAACTTGCACCAAAAAAAAATGTGATGGTCACTGTTTGGTGGTCCACTACAGCTTTCTGAATCAGGGCAAAACCATTATATCTGAGAAGTATGCTCAGCAAATCAATGAGATGCACTGAAAACTGCAACACCTGCAGACAGCCTTGGTCAACAGAATGGGCCCAATTCTTCTCAGTGACAATGCCCAAACTGACTGCATGTCACACAACCAGCACTCCTAAAGTTAAATGAATTGGGCTATGAAGTTATGCCTCATCTGCCATATTCACCTGACCTCTCACCAACTGACTACCACTTCTTCAAGCACCTAGACAACTTTTTGCAGGGAAAACACCAACAACCAGCAGGATGCAGAAAATGCTTTCTAAGAGTTCATCAAACACTGAAGCATGGATTTCTATGCTAAAGGAATAAACAAACTCATTTCTCGTTGGCAAAAACATGTTGACTGTATGGTTCTCTTTTTAATAAAGATGTGTTGAGTCTACTTATAATGATTTAAAATTCACGGTCCGAAACTGCAATTACATTTGCACCAACCAAATACCATCTACTAAGCTACCATAAAAAAGAAAAGGAAGGACAGAAGGGAGAAATTAAAATACTTTAGGAAGCAAACATTCTAACTACTGGAAGGAATTTTTAATTTATTGGCCCACAGACAGCTATGTATATTAGTTCTCATCATAAGAATAAACTTTAGTAAGAAAACAAATGTTAACAGTAGATAATAAAACCTGAACCACAAAAGCAGAATATCTCAACTTGAATCTGTAAAAAATATTCACAGCAAAAGCAAAAATCAACAAATTTTTATATTATGACATTTTTATAGTTATAGAAGCCCAAATGTTTAGTAACATTTTAAAATGCAAATTAATCAACTGACCTACATGGAAGACATGTGTGTGCTTACTCACTCAGTCATGTCTGACTCTTTACAACCCCAGGGACTGTAGCCTGCCAGGCTCCTCTGTCCATGGAATTCTCCAGGCAAGAACACTGGAGATTGCCATTTCCTTCTCCAGGGGATCCTCCTAACCTAGGAATCGAACTCACCTCTGTGGCTCCCGCTTGCAGGCAGATTCTTTATCGCTGAGACACCGGGAAGCCCTCTATTTTAAATACTCCCCTAACAATTCTCAGTTGTTTATATCTGCACTCTCTATATATTATATTTGAATGACTCGCTTACTGTCTGGTGAAAGCAGAGTATGTGACTGTGTCTTTCAAAGCTGTATCTCTAGGCTCTGGCACAGTGTCCTTCTGTTTACTGAATGACTGAATGGAAAATATCCATAACCCTTGCCATTTTAGAACAGGCACAAAATATCACCCTAAGATGATTGTGAAGTCAGTGTTATTCTTCCCCAGTTTCTATCATAAAATCAGAGGTATATGTCTAATTTAGGCTGATGTGAAAATTTCATGTGAGACAGGTTCGGCATACCAGCTATTTTTAAAGTTTTGAGCTTTCATAATACTATAATATCTTATAGCCTAAGAAAAATGAGTGCATACATTCACCAAAGGACAAGTATAAGAAAGTTTCTAACAGTTTTAGCCATAATGGTAGAAAATTGTAAACCCAAATCTCCATGAACAAGCAAATGGATAAATAGTGCTTTATTTATATAATGGAATACCATAAAGCAAAGAAAAACTTAACTATTACACCACTAAACACAATATGATGAATCTTGCAGACATAAGCAAAAGAAGCTATACCTAAGAGACTATTGTGTGATTCCATTTACATACACTTCAAGAACAGGCAAAACTAATCTATGGTGATGTAAGTTAGAATAGTAATTACCTCTTGGAGGCTTAGAAGTAACAAAAAAAAGACTACCAAGGAGCTGTTTAGTATGTTAAAATATTCTCTATAGATGGGTACGGTGATTACTACATACATATGTGTAAAAATTCATCAAGTCTGAAAAATTCATTTAAGAACTGTGTATTTTACTGTCTGTATGTAAAATTCTAAATGCAAATAATAAAACCTAGAGGTGTGCATCCTTTCTTTTACCACCAGTCTCAACCAGCTTAAGCTCCTTAAAGTGTAAGACCTTTTATATCTTAAAACCACTCATTCATATTTAGAATTCTGACTAGAGCTATTGAAAGTATTGAAGAAAGCAGGGAAGAAGGTAAGGAAAACCACTAGACCATTCAGGTATGACCTAAATCAAATCCCTTATGATTATACAGTGGAAGTGAAAAAGTTTCAAGAAATTAGATCTGATAGACAGAGTGCCTGAAGAACTATGGATGGAGGTTCATGACATTGTATAGGAGGCAGTGATCAAGACCATCCCAAAGAAAAAGAAATGCAAAAAGGCAAAATGGTTGTCTGAGGAGGTCTTACAAATACCTGAGAAAAGAAGAGAAGCTAAAGGCAAAGGAGAAAAGGAGAGATATACCCATCTGAATGCAGAGTTCCAAAGAATAGCTAGGAGAGGTAAGAAAGCCTTCCTCAGTGATCAATGCAAAGAAATAGAGGAAAACAATAGCATGGGAAAGACGAGATTTCTTAAAGAAAATTAGAGATACCAAGGGAACGTTTCATGCCAAGATGGGCACAATAAAGGTCAGAAACAGTATAGACCTAACAGAAGCATAAGATATGATGAAGAGGTGGCAAGAATACACAGAAGAAGAACTATACAAAAAAGATCTTCATGACCCAGATAACCATGATGGTGTGATCACTTACCTAGAGTCACACATCCTGGAGTTCCAAATCAAGTGGGCCTTAGGAAGCATCACTACGAACAAAGCTAGTGAAGGTGATGGAATTCCAGTTGAGATATTTCAAATCCTAAAAGATGACCTGCTGTGAAAATGCGGCACTCAATATGTCAGGAAATTTGGAAAACTCAGTAGTGGCCACAGGACTGGAAAGGTCGGCTTTCATTCCAATCCCAAAGAAAGGCAATGCCAAAAATGTTCAAACTACTGCACAATTACACTCTTCTCACACGCTAGCAAAGTAATGCTCAAAATTCTTCAAGCCAGGCTTCAACTGTACGTGAACCATGAACTTCCAGATGTTCAAGCTGGATTTAGAAAAGGCAAAGGAACCAGAGATTAAATTGCCAACATCATCGAAAAAGCTAGAGTTCCAGAAAAACATCTACTTCTGCTTTATTGACTATGCCAAATCCTTTGACTGTGTGGATCACAACAAACTGTGGAAAATTCTTAAAGAGATGGGAATACTGGACCACCTGACCCACCTCCTGAGAAATCTATATGCAGGTCAGGAAAAAACAGTTAGAACTAGACATGGAACAGACTGGTTCCCAATTGGGAAAGGAGTATGTCAAGGCTATATATTGTCACCCTGCTTATTTAACTTATATGCAGAGTGCATCAAGAGAAATGCTGGACTGGGTGAAGCACAAGGTGGAATCAAGATTTCTGGGAGAAATATCAGTAACCTCAGATATGCAGATGACACCACCCTGATGGCAGAAAACGAAGAAGAACTAAAGAGCCTCTTGATGAAATTGCAAGAGGAGAGTGAAAAAGTTGGCTTAAAACTCAACATTCAGAAAACTAAGATCATGGAATCTGGTCCCATCACTTCATGGCAAATAGATAGGGAAACAGTGCAAAACAGTGACAGACTTTATCTCGGGGGGCTCCAAAATCACTGCAGATGGTGACTGCAGCCATGAAATTAAAGGACACTTGCTCCTTGAAGAAAAGCTATGACCAACCTAGACAATTTATTAAAAGGCAGAGACATTACTTTGTCAACAAAGGTCCGTCTAGTCAAAGCTGTGGTTTTTCCAGTAGTCATGTATGGATGTGAGAGTTGGACTATAAAGAAAGCTGAGAACCGAAGAATTGATGCTTGTGAACTGTGGTGTTGGAGAAGACTCTTGAAAGTCCCTTGGAGTGGACGGAGATCCAACAAGTCCATCCTAAAGGAAACCAGTCCTGAATATTCATTGGAAGGACTGATGTTGAA